TTGATGAGTTATTTTCTACGGTTTATCGACCCGTTCCAGGTTAATTAAAGCCAGAAGATATGTAAGATTTTTTGTGAGATAATACACATTGAGTAATACTAGATTTAATAATGAGCCCATAGATGATGGCGAAAGAGGTAGTTTCATATATTTACCAAAGGTATTTGAGTGCAAATGAATATAGCTAATCCAACTGAAATTGAAACTCGGCTCTCCAATTAGAAATCCATTGCACCACCCTCACATCTTACAGCCACGCGTATTCTCAAACTGTTACCCATCTAGGCACTGACCAAGCTAGATGTTGCTTAAATTCGCTGATCGCACGGGAACAGGTGTTTCAACGCCATATGGCGAACAATACGGTATACAGATTACAATGAGATGGGCTTTCTAAATTGAAATGCTCATTAGATAGATAGGTAATGACCAGACTAAGACAGGCAGATATCATGAACAGACTATGATAGATAGATAGATAGATAGATAGATAGATAGATAGATAGATAGATAGATAGATAGATTTGAATACGCTGTTAGATAAATAGATAGATAGATTTGAATAGGATGATAGACAGATAGATTTGAATAGGCTGATAGATAGATAGATAGATAGATAGATAGATAGATAGATAGATAGATAGATAGATAGGAATGTTGGTAGATATTGGCAGTGATATATAAACTTTGACATAGATAGATAGATAGATAGATAGATAGATAGATAGATAGATAGATAGATATGGACAGTGATAGACCGATATATATATATAGATAATAACAATCACTTCGTAATCCTGTCTTCCTTTTAGCCTTCCTTTCAATATTTTATTGTTTCTCTCTCAATATCAATTAGAATTTCTCACCTTCTCTGACGCTTGCTTTTTATCCTGGTTTCTCTCCCATCACCCACCATCATCTCCCTCCCGAAATGTGTCAATTTCCTCGATTTTATTTTCCTAATTTTCTTTCTATTTCATTCCATTACTCTTGCCAATAAACATTTTATTTTGTGTTATTTTTTTCTTTACCTACATGAGTTACCTCCCTTGCTGAACGCCTGTCTTCTTGAATACAAGCGGCGTTTCTTGGAACGAGGCCATCCTAATACATTACTTTCTTCTACACTTTTTTGTTTAATGTTTTTTCTGAAGTTTTATTTATTTATTTTTTTAAGTAGTATACAAATTTGCAATTTTTTTTCTTGCAGAACTTTTATTGGTGGCTTGTATGAAAACTTATCACGAGATGTCTTTCCTCTCCCATCACTCTCAAGCTTATATATACGTTTTTCTACTGTTTGCTTTTATCTCTCTTTTTGCTTTTATCTATCTATCTATCTATGTATCTATCTATCTATCTATCTATCTATCTATCTATCTATCTATGTGTGTGTGTGTGTAAATATATATATATATTAGTTATTCCTCGTTTTATATATATATTTTACATATATATATATATATATATATATATATATGTTTATTATATATATATATTATATATATTGTTTATTCATATTTATATATATATATATATATATATATATATATATTACATATATATGTATTATTTATTTTGAATTTTACACACACACACATATATATATATATATATATATATATATATATATATATATATATATATATATAAATATATATATATACATATTAATTATTCTTGAGTTTTGCATGTATATATATATTATTTATTCCTGAATTTTATATATATATACACATATATATATTATTTATTCCTGAATTTTATATATATATATATATATATATATATATATATATATATATATATATATATATATATATGATTTTGTGTGTGTGTGTGTCTGTAGATATATGAGGAGTCGTGTGTTTCTCTAAGTCGAATAATGAAAAGTTTTCAATCTCATCAAAAAATGCGTTCAAAATAAATATTCATTAATAAATTTGTTTTAATTCCAAAAATTGATGTTATTTACTGATTTACAATGAAGCATCAATTGATTGTGCTTGTCGCCTAAGTCTTAAGTACTCTACATGCGGTTTCGTTTTAAGTTTAAGGGTTAAGTACTCTATTTAAGGGTTAATTACTCTATATACGGTTTGGTGTAATAGATAACGGCTCTGAATGAGGTGTTAAAGAGTTGAGTTCGAATACCAGTCGTATCGACTGATTCCTGTTCTGCGTAAGTACCTTTGGCTAAACTATGAATCCATGTCTTCTCACCTCAATAGGTTGATTGGTTCGATTTTTACGGTTTATCAACCCTTTGCCTGTTATTTAGAGCTTGTAGATATTTTTAGATCGTAAGAATATATATATATATATATATATATTTCAGATAAAAATGCCTTAGTGATATAAACGTTTTATTAATTAAAGGTGCTTGATTCATATCTTTCCCAAGCGTATCTGCGTATAAATAATTATAAAGAACCCAATGTCAAGCGCGACTGGGCTCATCTATTAACAATTCAGATTCATTATCCATTACGATACGCCACAGAACCTGGTATTCCAGAGCGGTCACCCATCTAGGTACTGACTCGGCTAGACTTTGCTTAACTTCGGAGTTCCTACTGGAACTGGTGTTTCAACATGATTTCATAAGACATAACACCTGCACATCCAAGCTTGCAGCATTTACAAACGGTCACCCATCTAGGTATTGACCAGACTAGATGTTGCTTTACCTCGGAGTTCATATTGAAACCGGTGTTTGATAAGGCATACCACCCGCAAATCAAAACTTACAACATTTCTAAGCGGTCACCCATCTAGGTACTTATCAGGCTCGACTTTGCTTAACTTCACTGATCGTATATGAACCGGTATTTCAACATGATGTTACCGTAAGTCACATCACCCTCACATCCAAGCTTGCCACATTCCCAAGCGGTCACCCATCTAGGTACTGACCAGGTTCAACCTTGCTTAACTTCACTGATCGTATAGAAACTGGTGTTTCAACGTGATGTGAGTGTAAAGCATATCTTCCTCACATCCAAGCTTGCAACATACCCAAGCGGTCACCCATCTAGGTACTGAACAGGCTCGACGTTGCTTAAATTTGGTGATCGGACAGTAATCGGTCTGTCAGTGTGTGTGACCGTAACAAATATCACCAGCACATCCAAGCTTGCAACAATGCCAAGCGGTCACCCATCTAGATATTGACCAGGATAGACGTTGCTTAACTTCGGAGTTCCTACTGGAATTGGTGTTTCAACATGATTTCATAAGACATAACACACACAGTATAACATACGAAGCATCACCATACCTTAATACAGACTGATTTTAAGACATCTCGACACTTGTTCGGTTATTTCATACAGTATTTTGTACCGGCCTCCAACTAAGGATCGAACTCAATCCTAATTGACCTACAGCCGCGTATATCAGTTTGAGCATATATATATATATATATATATATATATATATATATAAAGAAATGGACAAGGTCCGATAATTTATTTATATAAAGACATTTTATGTTTATAAAATAACAACAATTTATAAATAACAAGTTAAATGTTTAAAAAATCTTTATTATATATATATATATATATATATATATATATATAATTATTTATTGAAAAAAATATAACATAAATATTTATAAAAATCACTATAAAATAGCCATTTTGTTTATAAATTATATACAAAATATATATATATATATATATATATATATATATATATATATATATATATAAATATATATATATATAATCGACTCTCCCGTCGAGATTCGACGTATGAGGGTCAAGCAGATCAATTTCCATGAAACCGACAGCCCGACACCGGCACATGAGATTTGATTATAATGGTGAAGGCCTCGTGCAGGACCATCCACACTTTTTGAAGGGCCGAATATAGTGACCTGGTGCACCGAATGCCACAAGGTTCCCAAACGACCCTCCGCAGGTTTTGAATTCAGAGTTGTCCTTCTTCTAGACCAGTTGCCATCCAAGGCTATAGAACCCAGTCTGTCCTGCAATTTACCCATAGCTGGAGGGAGAGGAAGAGGATTCATACATATATATATATATATATATATATATATATATATATATATATATATATATATATTATAAATTAATTGATTTAAAATATGTTTTTTACGCTACACAGTTCTAACCATGTTTCAAAAATGGAAGCTATATCTTACTGTTCTTTCTTTTTTATATATATATATATATATATATATATATATATATATATATATATATATAGTTCGAAAACTATAACATAAATATGTTATGGAATCACTAAAAAATATCTGACAAACATCCCTCGTTATCAAGGTTCGTTGTTAAGTTTTTTGAATTCTCATATACCCTTGTATTTTGATTGGTCATTGCTCCTTATATAACATAGTTTCCCCTATCGAGGGGTGTTTGGTCAATTTGAACCTTTTAAAACCCTTTATTCTATATTCAACACCACCACTTGATAAGACACCAGAAGTGTTGAAAGAAAATGGCTATATTTGTAGTGATTTTATAACATATTTTTGTTACGATTTTCGAATAAATTATATTTGCTCTACTCTATATTGAGCATTTTTTTAAGAATAGTATTTTTTGGATATTCGAATTTGTTATGTATATATATAATCCTATATATATATATATATATATATATATATATATATGATTTTGAGGAAATACTGTACTTTTAATTCACGTTCAATTCACTTAGCTTTGGACTGATATCAGAGTTTCTCAGACACATTGTTCCTTAACACTTTGAGCCTTAACCACCGCATTACCGGTGGTAGAGAAAAATGATGTAATGCCCAGCTACTGGTTAATCGGCAGGTAAACACTTGTAATTATTTTTATATCTACCGTGAAACATTACATTTTTTAAGGCAAATCACCCCAAGTAAGGCGGGAGTGCCATTACCACGCAGAGAACTGAGTTACAGAGAACTGAGAGCAAGAGTAAAGAGGCGTGTTTGAGGAAAGGATACAGGGAGAATGGGGAACAATCTC